ACTTTCTTTTGATTTTAGCACCTAATGTTGTGTTTGTCAAAAAGAGGTAGACATCCAATCACCACCGATTTAAATTTAACGTGTGTGCGCTTTTTGGGGTTCAAACTCTTCAACATGAGGGAGTTTTGTTTTTTTACTTTTCTTAGCCGCATCAACATAGTGGACTCTAATCAATGTTAGGCGCAGGCCCTAAATCATTGTTGGAGTTGGAAAAGTTGCAACGAATCAATCTAATGACTTGCATGTTTTTCTGCTAATGGTTATGGGGGCTTCTGTATTTTGTGTTTGACTTGGTTTGCATTATGAACATGGTGCAACAGGTTATTAATCAGCAGCAGGGGTCTAATGAGGTTTCTTCCATTTAGACAACTTGCTCGGATTCTCGGCTTGAGATGCTGCAAGCATCAAGGAGGGGCCCGGCCAAGGGATAACAACATATTCAGGTAAATGTGCTTGAAATCTTTATACTAAAAAAACCACCAAATCTCTTGATACTTTGAATTTTTATTATCTCAAGTCCACTTCAGCGAAAGTTGTGATTCTTCTTAATTCTTGTGGAATCTCTATTCTTAGTTTTCTCCCCACCTCTCCAAATTGTTTGACTAGTACAGTAGGGTCTCCCCCCTAGCTCTAAGAAATGTGCAAAAATAGATAGTTTCTTTTTCACTCTCTAATTTTTTATGTTACACTTCAAAATCAATATATTATCATGTTAAAGAACTCGCAAAAAGGATGAAGGATTAAAAATTACACTCGAATTGTCATCTTGCACTTCAAAATCATGTAATTTGCGGAAAGAATGAAGGATGACAAAGTGAGAATGGGAATAACATTTCTCTATAAATATATAGAAAGCAAATGTTCCTTTCACAGTCCATGACTTTTGAGGACCAAACTTTTGACATCTTAATGTTATAGTTTGGTCTGAGGACTAGGACCTAGCCGAACAAGAACCAATGACTTTTCAGGAATTGGAATCCAGCTTCCCCACACAAGGTCCAATCATCTACCACCAAAAAGCTTTGAGCATGGAGGACCACTCTAAGAGGGGAATTTTTGAATAAAATCCAGAGGTCATTTGATTGCTGAATCTACTTGGAGAAAGAATCCCGTGTTGATAGAAAGTTCGTAAAGATAAGGAGTGGACGCTAGGTTCATTTGCCAGCCAATAGGAATTGTGCAATCTTGTGATTGACAGAGGTGATGATATATGCTTTATGGCATGCCGAACATAATCAGTCTGACCCTAAGGAATTGAAATTGAATCTACAACTTATCTATGGTTTTATACCAGATAGAGTATATAATGAAATGTTGCTTTCGAAATTGGAGGCAAATGGGATCATGAATATTGTATTTGTGCACTTATATTCACTGTTTTTATTCCGTGGCCCGACTTCTTGTCGAAGACAATGTTGTGACACTTACTGTTTTTTGTCTTCCCGGATGGTGACTGCGACTTACTAGCAGGTTCTTCAAAATCACTGGGCTCATTGATATTGAACTTGGGCTTCGCTTTGAAGTCTGGCCAGTGATTTTTCAAATTTGTATTGATGTTGTGTTACAATAATTTGATGAACATAAAAACTTAGATAGATCATAGGTTCTAATAGTATTTTCCTCTTATGTACTCGTTCAGTTGCTTTAATTCCCCAGTTTGCTGCTCCACTACTGCTCGAACTACATCTTTGATTGAAATCATGCCAACTATCTTCCCATCTATAACTGGAACATGCCTTATTTGATTCTCTGTGACATAAAAAATTGTCATTTATTTTCACTTCAATTTCTATTGGTAGTTCTTACAGAATAGAAATTGCGGCCTCGGTTGCTTTACCTGTCATAAGCTGCATTGCTTGGAGAATGTTTGTGTCAGATGTCACTGTTATTAATTTGTTCTGTTAAAAGGTAAACAGTTTGGTTGAATTTAGAATGAAAATGGTTGGTCAAGGCGTCCAAGTAGAGTAATTAGTCTGTAAGTTAAACTTAAACTGACCTCATTAGTCATAATTTCGCCAACTCTAGTGTGGTTGGGCGACCTTTCCTGTGCAATTATCTTCCTCAAATAGTCTGCTTGGTTTATGCCACCATCAATAGAATAGAAGAATCAGATTAACTTTGATTTTATTGTTGAATCAGAGAATTTGATCCAAGTTTCTGTAAATAATTTTACCTCTTTCTGTGATGATCCCTGCAATGTATTGTTGCTCTCCTGGCTTCAGTACCACTAATGACCCGACATTGTTTTTAGCCATCTGCAATTTCACTCTCATATTTAGTTAACTTTAAAATGAAATTCATATTACAGATACATTCTCAGGGAGGGCGTACATTTTTGACGGCATCAATTACAATGTCGTTTGTGTGGCACCAGAGCCAAGGTCCAGTTTGTTCACCTTTTGTCATCAGAACATCTGCCACAGTCACATTCTCTAATCCTTTCTGCTGTGCAGGTGGAGAGGTAACCCATTTTAAACTTGAAACTATCTTTTCAATTCCAGCAATTTCTCTCCCCTGCGCATGCTGTAAAATTGCAGCCTTGAGTATTTCCTGGCAAGATCGAACGGCTCTGGAAATTCCTTGCATTATAATTCCTGTTTAAGGAAAAATTGTATTTAAAAAAGAAGAAAAATTTCATGAAAACTTCGAAGTACATGTGGAAAATTATTGATACAGACCTTGGTGGGCAGATGAGAAAGCTACCTCAGAATTGATTGGAAGCTCTGCTTATGATGGAGCAAAGGGTATGGGGCTGCCTCATGTATAGGAATTCACTGTAGCAGCAGAAGATGTTGATGTACGTAATCTCTTCCTTGAAAATGTGTTTTCATCGTATTCTTTTCTTGAATGGCTGCATGAAGGAAACTTTGTTTTATTTTTTAAAATTATTTTACTTCATTTTCAGGTTACTTGCCCAGGTGATTTGGAAAGCCAGCTCCCTCAGCAATGCCTATAGTAAGAATTCTTCATCTCAATTTTATCAAGGCACCGATAGTTTTTTGTTTTTTGTTTTTCATTCCAACTTGAGTTCAAGAAGACGAACTCACTGCCCTTGCCCTCTGGTCTAACTCGCATTTGCTAGCAAGTATCACGTGGACTGCGACTTTGCTCTTTAAAACGGCAAGCATATATACTTTGCATTCCCTTTTGGGGAGATCTGCCCAAAAGTGGAGTGAGATTCCAGTCCTACTAGAGGAGGAAAATCTGCCCAGGGAAATTGCATATTTCCAATAAATCGTAACTAAATATTTGTAAGAGAGGTAAGGTAAAGAAGCAAAAAATTGGAGAAGGCATAAACCAAAATTAAACAAGTCCCAGAAAGTTTCCAAGGTATCAGATACAATTTCAATATATACCAGCCCCTGCCTTCATCTTCTTCAACAAAGCCAATCCTCTCCTTCCAAACCATACATGGCAGACAAAAGCAAACCGTCTCGCTTTAGGTTCCCTTGGCGTAAGCGTGGTTCTCAGCGTGGTTCTCAAGTAGAACCAGAGTCACGTCCGGTGGCTAAAGCCCAAAACCCTGCCCAGACAACCACCAATGTCCCTGTTGAGCGACCGCCATTTCGGCCTGCAGGAATTGCCCCTGTGAAGCCCTCTCCTTCCCAAGCTGAGGCACCATCAAGAACCGAGCATCCTCCACCATCACCATCTCCATCTCGTGCGAATGAGTCCCGAAAACTATCTGGTTCAACAACTGAAACTCAAATTCAGGTTGAATCTTCTCCACCATCACCATCTCGTGTAGCTTCTCAACCCTCCCAAGCAGCATCACAAGTATCATCCCCTCAGACTCAACCGCAGCCCATCGTTCCAGAGACCTCTTGGCTGCCTTCCTTTTCTGCTCAACCCCCATCACCTGCCTCTCAAGCAGAACCAAAGGAAGCAATACCTCAACCAAATGCAGAAATCGTTACGTCTGAAACTATTTCCAATGCTCCAAGAGAAATCACTGTTCAAACTCATCCAGCTTTGGCAGAAGCAGAAACAATTGCTTCACCTGAGAAGGTTGATCCTGATACCATTGGTGTAGATCAAAAGCAGCTTCCAGAATCAGAGACAGAGTCAAAAGAGGATAAAAGGGAGACGAAAGTAGTGCACGTGCTGACCAAAGAAGAAAAGACCAACGATCCAGGTTATGGAGAACCAATGCAAGAAGCAGTCATTCAACTTCATGCTGCAGTAACAGGCTCAGGAGAGCACACTCAAGGGCCAGTTGGAGTTGCATCGCAAGCAGAGGAACAGCACGAGAAGCAAGAAACTTCAGAGAGAACGGAGACTTTTGCCACCACCAGCTCCAGTTCGAAACCGATCAAAACTCCAAAAGACAGAAGCACCTCAAGGAAGTCTTTTCAAACGATAGTTTCGTCAACTGCAGAACAAGCTCCCCCACATAAAGAAATCGGAGAAGATGCTTGCAAACTTCATAAGCAGGCCACTGGGAACCAAATGCTTGAAAATCTAGTTAGCGTCATCACCCTAACTGGTGAAAACAGGGGAGCATCAATACACTCAAGCTCAGAACCAGCCAAAGAAGAAGAATCCGTTCACATACGCCGCAGTTATAAGAGCAATCCAGATGACAGCCTTGAATCCACTACTGATGAAGAGGTAAACAACAAGGATAGAAGTTTCGAGGACGGGACGAGTCAAGATGATCAACAAACGAGTGCATATATCAACAGCAATGTACAGAGCATCAATAACGCTATTGTGTTCAATAGTTTTGTCACAGAAGGGAACCCCGGTGTTGAGGCGGTTTTTCCTCAAAACCCTGCAGAATCACACAACGCTCAATTCACCAAAACTCCTTCTGAGAAGCTTACTCATGAATCCACCGTCAGACGGCGATGCCTTAGAGGGCTCTTCTTGGAACCAAGTGACTCAGACCCAGATAACCCTGAGAAGCCTCGACGTCATGGCTGCCGCTATAGTTGCGGGGGAAAGAGAACAGATACTGAGATTGGGATTCTCTAACCATGTAATATCACCTTTATAAGATCTATATTTTAAGATTGAAAAAAATTTGGGGGGGTGGGGAAGAGTAATGTTTACATGCTTGGAGAAAGTTGCAAAAAAGTGCTTTTGTGCATATAAATAAATTGGCAACTTACATTATGCTTTATGGGTTACTGCCATTACACAAACTAGTGCGACTTCAATGAAGGCACTTTCTGATGGACCAAAAGGCACAACCTAAAGTGCTTTGTTTCACGAAGTATATTTACAGTCAAATCTAAGGGAAGACGAACATGATAGTCACATGATGTGAATAGACAGTAAATCATTCACAGGCTGGTTTCGTGTCAAAGCTGCTCAAGCAAATTGCGAAGGCTTGGAAAGCAGAGAGAGGGTAGCGATAATCCATAGTGAAAATGTCTTTACCGATCTTCCCGAATTGCAGGATTACTTTCTCTTGTTCAGCCAATGAAACATTATGGCAAGGCTCTGCAGAAGCCACCAGCTGGAAATTCTTCACGGATGCCACTGTAACACGACCCTTAAAGTTTAGACACCAACACTGCAGCTGTTCATGCCATCGAGGAGATTTATTTTTCAAAATGAGCGGATCCTTCATGCCATGTTCCAAATCCGGCGTGGGGCTACTAGAGCCCAAGTTAGCAAGTGGCTTCTTCCCTTGCGAAATGGACGATGGAGGGCATTTCTGGTTTAAGCAAGTTGATAACTCTGTTGGAGTTGGAGCAAAGCCCCCTTCTTGAATTGCTGTTATGGGGATTGATTGCATGGTGCATTGCATTCTCCTTGGGCCCCTTGTTCGGAGGATATTGAGTTCATAAGATACAGAAGCAACACTAAAACAGCCGGCAGGTAACCTTGGAGATACCTGCTTTGAATTGATTCTGCGATGTGACCCACAATTTGTTTGGATTACTGGGTTTTGTGGAGGCTGACTGTCATAAATGGTAAACTTGGACCCCAGAAAATTAGACCTGTTCAGCATTTGCCAATAGATTGAATGAAGAAAGAATGAGTCATGGCTGTAACAACCAAGACCAAAAAACAAAAGGAAGAAAAAGAACGAATCATGGCAATGATAAAGATCCATTTAGGTAAAGCTTGCCTTAGTTTTCCAACATAGGTATTGCTTGCTCGAGAAAATTCATCTGCAACCAAGGATATCACAAAACCTGTACTAGTTGCCCGTCTGATCTTTCTCGCTGCCAGCAATAGCTTACTCATATCCCCAGACAGAGCTGTAGATTCATAAGAGATCATTAGTAACCGGTTTACAAAATTCAAGGATACCCTCATGGTGGAATTAGTATAACTGAACTATTAAAATCACACTAATTTCTAAAACACAACTAAGGGGAGAAGCAGCCAAACATTTACCGGGGCTTAGACCAAGATACAGTCGATATGTCGAGGTTTCTCTTTCCCTCTTAATAAAGCACTGGATCGGAGCATCTCTTGGACCCGGCTAGTAGATATACGCAAGTAATATGGAAAGTAAATCATCTTCAGTCAGTTCGTGATAGAATGTAAGAACCTGAAAGGAATCTAGTTTTATGAGAAAAATACCTGCTTCAGTGAGATAGGGAAGGTAAGCCAGCCACATTGCTCTGGAGTCTTGACTATCTCTTTTGTAATCTCCCTCCATGACCTGCAAACCAAAGCACAGGCAACGACATCTCTCCGAGCAGGCCAGGAGGTCTCGCTCGCTTCCAAGCGTTGAATTATGTCAAGAAGCAACTCGGGGGGCAAGTTTGCCCATTGGCTCTGTTGAACCAATTCAGGTGATGGCAATGAAGATAACGAGTGTTCAGGGGCAATGTGTGATTTTGCTCGGCGACGCGTTTGCTTTCTCTCTGCCCTTCTTGATTTTTTCCCCATGTCATCTCTGAGCTCCAGTAGCTCGTGAAATATTTTTTTGAGTGACATCACTGACCGGACTAATAGTAACACCACAAGGAAAAATTTGGTTTGAAAAATGTCACTACAATTATGACCAGAATTCAAATGTTGAAGCTGATATATTGTTTGTAAGTTTGGCAGATCTAAGTATAGAAATTACCTGGAAGATCGGCTTCAGAGTTTAAAATGTAGTGGAACGTTGTCTTCTTCAAAAATCACAATGGAAGGACTGCAAGTTTGGAACTTTACTGTTGCAGCACAACAATCACAAGTTGTAGTGGAACGTTGTCTTCTTCAAAAATCACAATGGAAGGACTGCAAGTTTGGAACTTTACTGTTGCAGCACAACAATCACTCGTTTAGAAGGGGGAAAAAAAAGGAATTTGATCGATGGCAATGCTAGCAATTAAAGTCGACATTTTCTAAGCGTGAGGAATGCAAACAATGCACATCAGAAACACAATGAAAATCAATGGCGACAGCGCCAATAGCAAATGTTTCACAATCCTAGCCTCAAATCACAAGAAGAATGCTGGTAACAACACCGAAACTGCAAACATTCGAGATCCGAAAAAGCACGAAAAATCCCTTTATCTCATCAAAACTCAAAATACTTGAGAGAGAGAGAGAGGGAAATGGTACGTACCAAAAGTGGGGGCAAATGCGTGTGGAATTTTTGGAGGTTTCTAGGAAATCACCAATGTCTCGGACAAAAACAACCGGAGAGAGAGAGAGAGAGAGAGAGAGAGCATATGCTATATACTAAATGGCCATATGGGCAAGGCCAAAGAAGCACAATGCTAAAGAAGCTGATTGTGATTTAGGAATTTTATATTGATTAAATCCAAAGGAAAAGAAACGAAACGAAAGCCTCTCTTTTTAATTGCATTGAATTGAATTGTCGTGGATTTGGCGATCGGAAACAGAGTTGGTTGCAGCAGCAAGCGCGCCCTTGCCACTACAACCATCACCACCTGAGCCACCGCTGTCCGGCCACTCTCCTCACCCCTGCCTCTCCCACGCAACAACAACAAAAGCTCTCTTTACCTCTTTACTTAGATGAGGAGGCCTTCCTCGTCTATTAAAACGCCTATTTTCTTAACCACCTCCTCTTTTTTCTTTTTTCTTTTTTTTCTTTAGCCGCTTAAACTACTGGGGCCGATTTCCGTGGATGCGTTCTAAAAAAAATTATTTGGAGAGCATAATGCATCCTCTTATTGAAAGTGATGATAATATATTAAATTCACACGAATTACACGGATGTTAAGGCTCGAACTTAGAACTTTTACTAAAGGAGCAATTGTTCCAAATTTAGCCGCTTAAACTACTGGGGCCGATTTCCGTGGATGCGTTCTAAAAAAAATTATTTGGAGAGCATAATGCATCCTCTTACTGAAAGGGATGATAATATACTAAATTCACACGAATTACATGGATGTTAAGGCTCGAACTTAGAACTTTTACTAAAGGAGCAATTGTTCCAAACTATTATAATAGTGAATCTCTCTAATCTTAAAAAGGAGAAATTGAATTTTTTTTTTCCTTAAAAAAAAATGGAAGAGAAAGTGAGGTTAAGATATCTTGAATCATTTTTAAGACATGAAGTGAAAGTAAACCTTACGTCGAGAATAAATAAACTGTTCACTATCAATTCAGGTTGTTAAATTGTCATAAGCAAAAGTGATTATGTTTTTTCTTTTTTGATGGAAGGAAAAGTGATTATGTTAAAGTCAGGATAAGAACATCAATCAAACCTTATTATTATTTCATTTATCTTTTTTAAAGAAGAAGAAGAATAGTAATCAATTGAAATGGCCAAGAAGAAGAGCCGGGCCTCAAAGGTGTCGACAAAGAGCCGAAAGTACACCTGTCACCCACACGTGCGAGCAGTGCACGTGGTGAAGTGGGGACCAGGAAGACCATGTAATCTTAGATTTATAGTCATAACAATAAAAAATAAAAGATAGATCTTCGGCTTATTTTCTACATTTTTTTTCTTAGATACGATGAGTTTGACGCACAAGCTTTATGTGGTGTTGATAGTACTCAGTTTAGGATTTTGCTTCACGAGAATAACTTGTATTGGATATCATTGTTTTGTTATTCCCAGTAATTATATTCTGTCGTAGATAATAAAATATAATTGCATAGAAATAATACTATGCTATCCCCGTGACATGCAACTCTTTCTCCTCACCCACCCAACCCTAAGTGTGAGTTTGATGGAGACTAATCAATATAACAAGCAACGAGGAACAATACTGGGGAATTGTGAAATTTGTGAACCCAGAAATTGTTGAGAGACGAGTCGGTGTCAGGCTGTCAGCAAGTCACACTTGCACGTGCTTATGCCTGAATCTCTTCGCCCTTTTTACTTGATTCTAGACTTTCATTTCATGCATCAATTTTCTAAATACACTGAATGTTTCTCATCAAACTGACTCCCTATGCTTTCAGCTTCGAGTAGGCAAATTAAATATAAATAAATACTTAAAGAGCAACAGGTCTTGTCTTTCACTTTCAGATAAGATAGTCCTAATAGAATGTTAATGGGATCTAATCTAATCTAACTTCTTGTGTTGGTGGAACGCATAATTGGGCATGGTCCACTCACCTAACTCATTTATTAATTTCAGTTTAAGCAGTGCAATTATGATAACATGTATTATTAAGCTTGTTAATCAAACATTTGTAATTAGTAAAGTGGAAAACAAGGAGATATGACAAAAAAGTTTTTGAGTCGTACCTAAAAGGCCTCCAACTATATGACCAAATTTGTTTTGATTAATGTGAAATAAGATCAGACCAGTGACCACAATTATATCCGATCACATGGATTTGAAATGTGTGGAGCCCTTATGCATGCCTATATGTTAATTATTTTTTAATGCTAGCCATGATTGTTGGACTTTGACAAGCCCAAGCTGGTTCATATCTGGACCGATTTTAAATGAATTGATTGGCATCTTTCGACATGGATAAGGTTTGCCCATGCACCCATGCCCCCCCTCCTTCCCTGTGTTCCATAACATCTAGTACCACATTTGGAACATCAAGGAGCAATGCCAGCTAAATGTGTTGTAACGTGTTATGTTTTTTCTTTTCTTTTTGGACACGAGTGATATTAGACGAGGGAGAATCTAAATCATGTAAATGAATAGCTGCTTTTAATAACTTGAGTTACAAGCCACTCGAGTTTCATCTAAATAATGAATTGAACTCACCCTTTGTGTTCTGAATCCAGATAATGAATTAGACCAGGCCATCGTCTCAAATATTTGTTTCTTCATTCTCCTAGCTTTGTTATGGCCCAAAAGACAGAAAGAAACGAGGTCAGAATGGCTCACCTGACCTGAGGACCAATATTTAAGCGCCTCTGAGCGACAAAGTTATTGGAGCCATCAGATTGATCCAATGGGTGAGAATCTTAATAATAGTTTCTAACCCATAAGACCCGTTGGTTGCTTGCTGGATGCTAGAAGAAGATGAAGGGAGTGAAAGAGGGGGCTCAGTTTTTACGGGTTGGGGATTTTCCTTCAACCTGCTGAGAAGGTTTTCAAGTTATATCATTTAATGGTGTAGATCTATCCTTATTGTTTTGCCTAAATCTAACGGTCAATATCTATTGGCGCATGGATGCGCCAGGTCCACCGTAGAATTTTCCTAAGACCCGTTTCAGTAATCTTTCAATTCTTTTCAGACCAAAAAAACAAAATAAAAGCAAATAGGCTTTGAGCCAATTCTTTTCTTGCAGCAGAAGGCACAAATCGATGAGTGAGAAGTCAAAGCAAACAGGTGCTCATTGGTCCTCAAAAATGGAAAGTTCCCATGGAGAGGCTGAATCCCAATTAAATGGGGAAAAACATAATGTTTCAACTTTTTCTAAATCCAGAAAGTTTTAGCTACTTGAACTCCTAGCTCTGCATGGATAGCAACCCTATATATACCTAAACTATGACATGCAAAATTCAACGAAATCTTATTATTGGACATCTATGGCCATGCTCTTCTTCTATGCTTTCATGGTGGTGGGTGTGCTCTCTCAAGCACACCCAACCCCACCAATTTCTCTCACCGTTGATCAGTCCGGCAAAGGTGACTACACCAAAATACAAGACGCCATTGACGCCGTGCCGTCTAACAACGTCGCGCCTGTGTCGATTTGGGTTCGACCTGGTGTCTACCAAGAAAAAGTTTACGTGCCTGCAGACAAACCCTTTATAAAAATGAGTGGCACAAACGCAGAGCAGACCATAGTAACATGGAACCAAGCTGGATGGATAAATCAAACCGCAGTCTTTGCTGTGTGGGCTTCTGATTTTACAGGACGCCAACTCACAATTCAGGTATATATACATTTCTCTTCTATTGAGGAAACCAAACTGTATTGTTTTCAAGTTTATGCATAATTTTTTTATAAACTACGAATTATATATATATATATATAGTTTTAAAACATATAATTAATTTTACTTAATTTGAATTGGTGGGTGCAGAATACATACGGAACCGGTGACAAAACAGTGGCACTAAGAGTATCAGGAGACAGAGCAGCATTCTATGGGTGCAAAATTTTGTCTCATCAAGATGCCTTGTTCGATGAGATTGGCAAGCACTACTACAAAGACTGCTACATTCAAGGAGACACTGATTTTATATTTGGAAGGGCTGA